TTTTCTCCCCCTTTTTTTTCACTAAATTCATGAATCATAGTTAAAAATTCTCATCTGCTATGTGTGTTTCTAACTTCTCTTACAATGCTTTCCTTTTCACTATGTCATGTGAGCCCTCTTTCTACATGCCATGTCACCTTCCTATTTGATATTAAAAATTGTGTATGAAAAAAAAAAGAAACTCCAGATATCTTTCCTGATACCTGGAAGCATCATCTTCTGTTCAGCTAGGTAGGTGAGGCTGGTGCTGCTGAGCACCCAGATATCTAACTGTAACCCAGACCTGAGCTGGAACAAGCCTCGCTGGCAGTTTGGGTGACAGTGTACCTCTGCCTGTCTCTGTGCCTGGATAAAGGGCATTTTGGGAACTCGGAATTCAGCTGAGAGATTGGATATATTTTGGTAGCTCAGCACCAAGAGAATAAAGGAATAGCCACTCTGCTTTCCAAAAGTTTCGACATAGCTCTTTGTCCTTTTGCCCTGAACATGTACACTGGGCAAATATTTGCAAGAAACCCTGCTCTATGTGTGTAGGCCTCACATCTCCTATTTCACACTCCAGCACCAGTGCTTATTGTAAGTCAGTCATGGAATGGAGAATAAAACCTACAACTCCCCCATTTTCAATTTAATTTATAGAAGCTCCAGGTTTTATTCTCTATTTCATCCTTACCTAATTGCAATACTGACACATATTTGACTTTTCAGTGTATCTATTTTTTGTATATAAAAAGGAGAAAATAATAATACAGCCAAGGGTATTTGACAAAAAAAGTCAAATCTATTTGAGTGCTTTTAGCTCAGGAATATAACCTGATTGTACTCAGTGGTAGGGTTAGAGATATATATTCCCCCCCCACTAAACAGTGAATAATTCTAAATTTTGAATAATAGAAATTCTTGACATGAAGTTCAAGTAAGATTACACTGTTTCAGGCAAGAAGCAGATGTGTGATGCCCAGTGTCTTTGGCCATGTTAGTTTCATCTGACATCATCTCCCGTGTGAGGTGGCCCCGTCTACTCAAGGAGAAGTTCATTCTGGAGTCTAGAACCATAAATAAAATACTCTGGGTAAATCCTAGCCTGTCTCATGGTCCTTTCATTCTTCAGCTGTGAGTGATGTAGCAACAGCGGCTCTGACTGGAACGGGTCTCCTGGCTGCCTCCAGAGGATTCGGATAAGCTCCCAACAGTTCCCTTTAATTTAGTAGCATGGAAATGGGTGTGATTTGTAAGGAACCCACCAGATACAAGCCCTCTACAGCCACTTTACACTCATTTATCTGCTCAGGGCAGAGATTCTGACATCTTGGGACATCTTGTCAGATGCCTTGTAGACTCTACATCAGGGTTACCCTGACCGGACCTGGTCACACCTTCTCTCTCAGACTGCTCGCTAGTTGTTTTCAGCTCCATTTCTCCTGTTTGTTCCTTTTCAACTCTATTGTTCTGCTTGTTGCTATAGTAAACCAGGTACTGCCCGAGTGCAAGCACTGTGTCTCCACCAGCAGACTCTGTAGCCTCAGAGCGGGGCACTGCCAGTTCCTCAGGCCAAGGGCTCCCAAGACGAGTGTAGCCTTCAATGTCTGGGCTTGATGCACCCCTTTGACTGGACTCTCCGCAGACAGCACACAGCTCCGCCTGGTGAACGGAGGCCATCCCTGCGCCGGCAGAGTGGAGATCCTTCACGAGGGCTACTGGGGCACCATCTGTGATGACGGCTGGGACCTGCCTGATGCCCACGTGGTGTGCAGACAGCTGGGCTGTGGAGAAGCCATGGAGGCCAAAGCCAAAGCTTACTTCGGGGAGGGATCAGGACCTGTCTGGCTGAGCAATCTGCAGTGCATAGGACAGGAGTCCCACGTGTGGAAGTGCTGGTCCCGGGGCTGGGGACAAAACTTCTGCTTTCATTCCAAGGATGCAGGAGTCATCTGCTCAGGTATGATCAGTGCATTTTCAGGGGCTGAGGGAATGGAAATTTCCTAGGAGGCTGGTGTCTGTTGGGACAGCGGAAATAGATGGCCAGAAAGGTCTGAGACCCATCCCCTCCCTCCATAGTCCCAAGGACACAAAGTTTCTGTGAATGATGAGCATCCTTTACTCCTAAAGAAACTGCTCATTCTTCCTTCTTCATTGTTCTTACCTGACAAAAGAACTTAATCTATTATCATCCTGATTAAAACCAATCTTCATGATTCTTTTATAATTTACTTTTTGTAAGAGTAAACTTAGTAAATCTCCACACTAACTCTTCTTGTTCAGTGAGACGATTAGTGGAAGGAACAGAATGAGGATGCACATTCCTGGTTAATAGTTTCTGAATGGATAGTGCAAGATCTGGTTTTGTAATGGGTTAGTAAGAACAGAGACACAGGTGATATCACTGAACAAATCAGAGAATTGTATGGATTTGTGCCAAAATTCATTTCTCCTTTCTAAACTTGAGCATAAACATTCATAGTTCTTTTGCCAGTAAAACCAAAAAGCTATGGATGAAATATTTTGGGTCATAGATTTTCACTCCTTGCTACTGGAAAATACACTCTATTTTCTTTCAAAACACTTATGTAAACTCAAATTGGAGGTTAAGTAGCCATGCACCAACAAGGCAATAATGAAGGAAATAAAATGTTAGTCTGTGTGTTTTATGGAAAGAAATTTCATAGATTTGTTTTATTCCATGGCTTCAAAATGAATTGCCATTTAGGGATTTGAAAAGAATGGATTGAGGGGACAAACACCATTTTCCAATTAGGAGGAAGAAATTTATTTATTTATTTTTAATTTAAATTTTATATTTATATTCCCCAATACAATTACAACCCCCTTATTTTTACCCCAAGCCCTCCTTTCCCACCCCCAACCCCCATAGAGTGTCTCTTGTTCATAGTTATTTGTTGATTTTGATATTTTCTTTCTTATAGTTATCTTTTTCCTGGTCCTTATTTAAGTTTTCTCTAGATTCCTGCTATGAGTGAGACCATCCGGTATTTTCTTTTTCTTTCTGGCTTATTTTGCTGAGCATGATCCCTTCCAGCATCATCCATGATGCTGCAAATTGCATGTGTTTATCTTTTTGATGCTGAGTAATATTCCATGGTGTATATGACCACATTTCTTGATCCAGTCATCTATTTTGGGCATTGGGTTGTTCCAAATCTTAGCCATTGTAAATAGTGCTGCTATAAACATAGGCGTGCAGGCTCTTTGGAATTGATGTTTCTGTGTCTTTGGGTAATACCTAGGAGTGGAATTGCTGGATCATATGGAAGCTCTATGTTTAGTAGGTCCAAAATCTCCACACAGCTCTCCATAGTGGTTGGACCAGTTTGCACTCCCACCAATAGTGCAGGAGAGTTCCTTTTTCTCCACAACCTTGCCAACATTTGCTGTTGCTAGTTTTTTAATATGTACCATTCTCACTGGTGTAAGATGGTATCTCATGGTAGTTTTGATTTGCATTTCCCTGATTACAAGTGATGTTGGACATTTTTTTCACATGCCGTTGGCCATTTGCATTTCCTCTTCAGGGAAATTTCTTTTTAGCTCTTCTGCCCATTTTTTTGACAGGTTATTTTCTTTGTTTTTGTTGAGTCTCATCAGCTCTTTGTAGATTTTGTGATCAGTCCTTTATCATTAGTGTTGTGTGCAAAAATGTTCTCCCAGTTGGTGGGGTTTCTCTTTGTTTTTGTTATTGTCTCTTTTGCTGTGCAGAAGCTCTTTAATTGATTTGTAGTCCCAAATGTTTATCTTTGCCTTTCACTATCACTGCTTTGGGTGATGTGTCTGTAAAGATGTCTTTGATGTGCAAATCACGTAGTGTTTTGCCTATATTTCCTTCTATGTATTTATAGTTTCAGGTCTTATGTCTAGTTCTTTAATCCATTTTGAGTTGATTTTTGTGTATGGTAAGGTAGTGGTCAAGCTTCATTCTTTGCATGTAGCACCAGTTTTCCCAGCACCAATTATTGAACAAACTTTCTTTGCTCCAATGCATATTCTTTGCTCCTTTGTCAAAGATTGGTTGACCATAAATCTGTGGGTATTTTCTGTGATTTTCTATTCAGTTCCATTGGTCTTATGTCTGTTCTTGTTCCATACCATGCAGTTTTGATGATTATGGCTTTGTAGTATAGTTTGAAGTTGGAGTGTGATGCCTCCATTCCCTTCTTTTTTTTCAGGAGAGGCTTTGGCTATTCGGGGTTTGTTGTTTCATATGAATTTCATCAATAATTGTTCTATTTCTTTGAAGAAGACATTGAAATTTTATTGGAATAGCATTGAATCTGTATATTGCTTTGGTAGGATGGCCATTTTAATAATGTTTATTCTTCCAATCCATGAGCAGGGGATGTCTTTCCATTTCTTGTGTCTTCTTCTATTTCTTCTAACAGTGTTTTATAGTTTTCTTTGTATAGGTCCTTTACCTCTTTTGTTAGATTTATTCCCAAGTATTTGATTTTTTTTGTTTCGATAATAAAAGGGATTTTTTTAATTTCTTTTTCAGATTTATTATTTGTGTATAGGAAGGCTACTGACTTTTGCATGTTGTTTTTGTATCCTCACTTCACTGAACTGATTGATGAATTTAATTAGTTTTTCTGTGGAGTTTTTGGGGTTCTCTATGTATATTTTCATATCATTTGCAAATAGTGATAGTTTGACTTCTTCTTTTCCTATTTGGATTCCTTGGATGTCTTTCTCTTATCTTATTGCTCTGGCTAGGATTTCCAGTATTATATTGAAAAGCAGTGGTGAGAGTGGACATTCTTGTCTTGTTCCAGATCTTAATGGAAATGCTTTCAGCTTTTCACCATTGAGAATGATACTGGCTGTTGGCTTGTCATATATGGCTTTATGATGTTGAGGTATGTTCCTGGTATCCCAAGAATTTCAAGGGCTTTTATCATGAATGGGTGCTGTACTTTGTTGAAAGCTTTCTCAGCATCTATTGATATTATCATTATGGTTTTTTATATTTCTTTTGTTGATGTGTTGGATAACGTTGATTGATTTTCGGATGTTGAACCATCCTTGTGTCCCTGGCATGAATCCTTCTTGTCGTGGTGAATTATCTTTATGGATACATTGTGGATTCTGATAGCTAAAATTTTATTGAGGATTTTTGCATCAGTCTTCATTAGGGAGATTGGCCTGTAGTTTTCTTTTTTTGTGTTGTCCTTGTTTGGTTTTGGTATAAGTGTAATGTTGGCTTCATAGAACGTGTTTGGTATTATCCCTTCCTTCTGAATTTTTTGGAAGAGTTTGTGAAGGATAGGCACTAATAAGTTTCTGAATGTTTAGTAGAATTCATTTGTAAATCCATCAGGTTCTGGGCTTTTGTTTTGGGGACGTTTTTTGATTACCATTTCAATTTCGCTGCTTGTAATTGGTCTGTTTAGGTGTTCTATTTCTTCTTTATCTAGCTTTGGGTGATTGTAGAGTTGTAGGAATTTGTTCATCTTCTCTAGATTGTTGAACTTGTTTCCATATAACTGTTCATAGTAGTTTCTTATTATTCTTTTGATTTCTGCTGTGTCCCTTGTGATTTAGGAGGAAGAAATTTAAACTAGATGGGAAGGAGAGGAATGCTGGGGAGCTGAGAAGACACATCAGGGGTTCCCTGAGCAGCATGAGGAAGCAAGGGTGTGTGGACATGCCATCTGTGCCTGAGGACACAGGGTGTCTTTATAGCAAGAGGCCAAAGACATATTTGACCACAATTTTCATTTTGCCTGATGTGTGATTGATTCACATAAATAAATCACCTTCTGAAACAGCAATTCTCCTTGCATTGTGCTGTCCCGGTGTCTCCTAATCTTTTCAAAAGACTTAGAACTGTCTACTGGTTATTTTTCCTCCACTAGAAGTAAACTCCTGCAGAGATTAAAACATTGATTTATTATAATTCACATTCCCAGCACTTAGAACAGTTCACAGAAATTGGCAAGCTCTGAAATGGCAATTGTATTTTGAATCAAACAATATGAAGGAGCATCTCAATATGGCCTCTCTCTATCCAGGTAGCAAACCTGTGCTGAGTTTGGAGACGCCTCCTCTGAAGCTGCCCTGTCTCCGTTTCATCATTTCCCAATCAGAGGCTGAATCTTGGCCCATTTCTGGACTCCCCATGACCTACTCTCCCTGCCCTGTGTTACCCTAGAGGGAAAGGTCACCATGACCACCTCTGGCTTTCAAGGTGAGGGGCAGCCAATTGTCCCAAGATGGAGGATGAGTTTTGTCTTTAAAGAAGATACCTCATCTTTGTGGCTCCCTGGTGGCCAAATGCCACACATAGTGGAGATATTTCCCACAATCAGGCACCCAGTGCTCTGTTCCATCAGAAATGTGAGAGCCTGGAGGGATGGATGAGGACCTGGAAGGATTGGAGGCAGGCGAGGCTGTTGGTCAGAGGCTCTGAAAGTTCGTTTTGAGCAGATGAGTCACAGGTGCAAGAGGATGGAGGAGGCATCTTGGTCAGAGGAGAAGAAATAAGAACAGAAAGTGGTGACAACCAATCAGGTCATCCTTGCTCTCTTGCTTCTCTAGAGAAAACCAAAAACTAAGGCCATAATCATGAGAGGGAAATGTCCTCTGACCAAAACAGAGGACTGAAGTTGAGGTGTGGAAAATTGGGGCTCTCCAGACTCAGATTTGGACACAGAGATCAGATTCCTCAGGTTATTCCTGAGATTCCAGATATGACTCAGGTGATGTCTCTCTTGCACATGGACTGCTTTGGAAAGTGGGGTCACCCCTATAAGATAAGAGTAGGGGTGTAGTACCAAGGGGAGAGGACCAGAGATATTTAACACTGGGCCTGAAGGAAGATGAGCTGTCATGCAGGAACCTGGGAAGTGGATCTGCTTTCAGGAGCATAAAACAGTCACCAAACCAGCTACATCAGGAGGCTTGAGTGTGCGCCAACTCAGTAATCCT